TTGGCTGGTTTGCGTGGCATGTATTGTCTGAAGGGTCAGCGGCCACAAAATGGAACCAGACATTTATCCACAGTGATGTGGGGGCCTGGATTGTAAAGAAAGGGCAATCGCTGGACCCACTTGTCCCATACATCCCTTATTGCTGCAAGTTTGTCACTCTCGTCGGCCCTGTCTTGTTTTTTTGTCATCAAAGCATATGACAAGGTAGAAAACATGGAATGTCTTTAGAGACATGGTGGCTGGAAATATTGACCTTCCAGTGTCAGCATTCCAAAGGCTTGCTGTTGCTTCTCCTTTTGACTTGTACACTCCTGCCAAAATGAGCAACCCAATGTAAGCTTGCAAGTCAGTCACAAAGTCTTTCCAACTGTCCCCATACACCCTTCTCCCCTGTAAGTTTGCCATTTCAAGTGTATCCTTTTCATTTGATGGTGTAGTGAACAGCTGAAATGCTGGTTTTATATCTTAGACATGGCTGACAGCATATCTGGTGGGCCCTGGAACCATTTTGATGACATTAGCAGCACTAAGTCTACCTTGGCATTCAAGTGGGGAGCGGGATCATAATAGCTTTTCATTTTTGGAAGGTAATGTGACTGCTGGTGGTTGAGAGACAACAGGAGGGTCAACACTGGGAGGCTCATTCTCATCCGAGGAGGATGCCTCATAATCAGGGTCCTCCTCAAGATTATCGTCTGTCTCAGACACATTCTCCTCTGTCACTTTCACTGTCAGAAACCTGTGACAAAATCTCATTGACATAAAACCTTTGCTTCGAGGCCATTTTCAATTGAGAGAGAGAGAGAGCATAAGTGAGCTTTTATATGCTTGCTCCTCCCCTGTAACCCATGTGAATTATGTTTTCCCCTTCCCCATGGCATGAGAAATATCAAAGTTCTCGTGAGAATTAGGATTCCCCCTACCCTCATGTCATGTGAACTATCAGTGGTTCTCACAATACTACAGGTATGGTTATGTTAGGTTTTTTGAATATTATACTTAATATTAGGTATGTGACGAGATCTCGTGGTCTCACGAGAACGTTGTAATGGTGCCCATTAGCTGAGTCTGATTCATGCATGTTATTGTATACATTAATGATTTTTGCTTTGTTTTTTATTGTTATTATTTTTATTTTCATGTATTTTGTGTGCATATCATGTCATATTTACTCTGTGTATATCTGGTATGGGAACAAAGCTTTATAACATGACATGGAAGATAAAGTATGAGGCGGAACTAGCGTGTTGATATGTGGACTCGGAAGTATATAAGGTGAACGCAAAGCGGAGAAGGGAATGTTTTTTTTACTGGCGTTCACTTACGTGGAATACTTCGTCGAAAGTCGGAAGGATGGGCCCTGTTTCAGACTTTTGGACTGAGCACACCTTATTTTCCACGAGTGAGCTGCGCTGTCACAAAATGCCGGTGTGGTAAGCAGCGGGAGTTTGAATGTGTGAACCGCTGTGTTCTGCTTATGCTTGCTATGAGTTCAAACAGCTGCAAAATGCACGCGTTTAAAGTGGACTAAATCGGAAGAGATGGTAAAAACAGACTTTGTGAAATGTTCTAATGGACTCTGGGGACTATTATGGTGTTGAATTTTTCTGCTGATTATGTGATGTAACTGGTGTTTTTTTAAAGATACTGTATGAAAGTAGAATGATGTCAAAAAGATTTGCATACGCAGGGTAAGCGCGGAAACATGGAAGTCAGAAGCATGCAGATCATATTTATTTTGCGTTAGCATGAAGCTGCAGTTTCACAATACATGAATTACACTTACGAATAACAGTAAAATGCTGCAAATAATTTTGTCTTGCGCTTGAAACGCGATTTACACCTTTACAAAGCTTCTGTTGCGCATGCAAATTTAATTTACGCTTACAGTCTTATGTACACTTCCACAACTCTTACCCTGCGTATGCAAATCTTTTTGACGTCATTCTACCTTCATATGCTGGGTTATGAGCAATGTAAAGCTATGTTTGCGTAAAAGGGAAAAGGTGTTTGAAAGATGAGAAACGGGGTCAATACACGCACGTTGTTTAAGCAATTTATGAAGTATGATGTGTTCTTTGTTGTTGCTTCTTTTTTTTTTTATCAAATGTTATTTGTAATCACAATCGGATCCAGCCTATGCCCTTGAAGCGTGCTGTGAAGTCCCTTATTGTAATTTTTGAAGAAGTATAAGTGGATTGTTACAACGTGACGATATCCTCGCAAAACAATTTGTGTTTACATTAGAGCTGCACGATTAAACGTTTAAAGATCGCGATCTCGATTCAAACACCCACGCAATCTTATTCCTGAATGACAACGATTCAGCTATGTCTATTACGACTGTTTCACATCACGAGTGTCAGTGGAGTGTGAGAAGCACGTTTTGTCGCTGCCCGTGTTAATCATTCATGCTGCTGCTGATCCAGAAAGAGCAACACAAACAGTCTTTTAACCACACATCATTATTTCTGTGTTACAGACATTTAAATAACAGAAGTACTGGGATAAAAGTTTATAGTTTGGATATAAACACTTACTCTCTACAGTAGTGATCAAAATGAAAGTATCTTGACACTTGTATGTATTGTGACGCTTATACTCTTCCTCCAGGAGGTGGTGACAACTGCCCATTTAGAAAAAGTATTTGTCCTTGAATCATTCATTCAGGAGATTCCAATTGTGAAACAGGTCTTTATGAATTGAGACACTGACTCCTTCATTTAATTTTTTTTTTGTTTTTTTTTTTGTTCAAATTAATATATGTTTTAAAAAGACTTAAGCAATGAACATTTTGTCAGAATCACTAGTAAATTACGTTGTTTTGTTTAGTTTTCTAATCTTTTTTTTTTTCTTCAGAGAATATATATATATATATATATATATATATAAAACATGATTCTCAATTTATCCGGAATCATGCAGCTCTAGTTTACATGTTGTTTATTGCTACATTTAATTAATTAAAATAGAAGTTTAGTTTTTTTAAGTACAAGTTGCACCTACATTTTTTGCATTTTGTGTTTTTCAGTTGAATAAAAGACTATTTTTCCCTTTATCTTTCATCATTGAGAATTTCTTAAAAAAAAGTCTAAAAATCTCGTCTCGTTCCCGTGAACCCAGCCTCGTGTCTCGTCTCGTCTCGTGGGATAAGTGTCTCGTCACTCCCTTACTTAATATATAAAATTATAGTGAATATTATAAAAATTATAGCATGTTGTAGTGACCTCAATATCACCCAAAACAAATGTGTAAAATTTAGGGCTGTGACGGTCGCCGTGACAACCGCATCACCGCACTGTATGTATGTATGTATGTGTGTGTGTGTGTATATATATATATATATATATATATATATATTAGGGATGTCAACGATTAATCGACGATCGATCA